CCATGTAGAGCGCATTGCAGTAGTCTATCTGGGAGATAACGAGGGCATGAGTGACTGTTTGTAGGGCATCATAATCATCAGTTGTAGTTTTTGGTTTCACTTATTAATATATAGTTCAATGTTATTATCTTTGTTTAAAATAATAAAACTTACTGCCACATTTTATCTGCCCCTACAGGCGCACACACATTTTGTCCTCTCCAGTACAGCTACCTCCCATTTTCCTCCAGAAGATGGGGAAAGAGTCAGGGAACAACATATACTCTTTTCACTGTGCAATCTTTCTAGACTGGTAGTTGCTCTTTTTCATTCTCTCAAAATTAGGGACCTAGCTGAATGTATAGTTGCCCTCCCTTTACCTGAAAGAAAAAGAGAGACCATAATAAAAGATTATTGATTATCTGAAGGCAATTGGTACATTTAATTGTCAAAAGCCAGCTGGGTGACTTTGGGCCAATCACTCTCAGGCCAACTCTGATTGTTGTTGTTGTTGTGGGGAAGGAAAATAGGAGGAGAAAGGAGTATTAGTTACAGTATGTTTGCCACCTTGAGGTAGTTATAAAAATAATAAAGGTGGGATAAAAACATTTTAAAAATCTAAAAAAAAAAGGACTGCTTTTTAAAATAGCTTTTTATATAAAGATACATTTAATGAAAACTCAGGAGTTAAAATTTTTAAACTGAACCTTTTCATTATATGGACATTTGCACAAATATTAAGTTAGTCCAGGAAGTAGAATGAATTACTTACTGAAATTTATAATGCAAGCTGTGTCTCTGTGTTTTCGTTTTTACTTTGTCTTCAACCAGGTCTTATATAACAAGGTCAAGTTATATGTGATGCAACCTAATACAGAAGTCTAGGCAAGAATGTTTTTTCCATTAGGAAACTGATTGATGTAACAGTAGTTTCTTGGTGACATAATAGTAAATCTTGGCTGTCTGAAGACTTTTTTTTCTGAAAGATAGGGTACTTTTACAAAATTAAGCTTAAAATGGTATTCGTAGTTCTCTAAGGACATTCAGAAGCAAGCACTATATATGAGCTCTGGTATGCATATCTCTTCCAACCTACCCATTTCATTTAGTAGTGGTAATAGCCTTGGATGGGTCTTATTGATTGGGAGCATGAAACTAAATTCTTACATAATTCTCAGTTGCAGCAGAAATCCATAGATTGAACTGACACTGTATACCAAGAAAAGCTCAATGGGCTTATAAAGTTATATTTAGATTTGAAGAGTAGAAAAGGAGCAGAGTTTGGTTGCATGTATGGTTGGAAAAATGCAGAAAAATAGGTATCTCTGTAGGAGTAGGTTAGGCCCTTTATTACTGTATTGAATGTAGAGATTTTTTTTTTTAAGTACTTCAAGATTCTTCAGGTATTGTTCATCTGTGAACCTCTGAAAATGAAGCAATAGGTATCTGTGTTAATTAGTTTATTATTTATTACATAGCTTTCTGTTTCAGAGTTTTACCCTGGAGAGAGAAAGGTAATTTGTATAATGAAAATGAAAATTCTGCTTCAAACTGACTTCTCTAATTTACAAATATTATGTCTGCTTTCCATACTTATATTTGATCACATTCTCAGTTGGTAGAATCTTAGTATGTTTGACAAGTGTAGCCCTTTTAAAGCTCTTGTCTTGATTGTTCAAGCATTAGACACTTGCAAGTTAGTCATAAAGGTACCTCTCTATATGGATTGATTTTGGAGACTAGCCTGAAAAGCCCCATTGGTCTGGAATGCTGTGATGCGTTAATGCTCAGGGTCAGCAGAATTACCAGTCTTATCACCTGT